TTCTGGGAAAGTTTGTGGAAAGCATTTCTAAAGATAATATAAGAATATAGAAGAATGTATTGCTGATGAAGAATCAATATGACCACTGAAACGGTAGTCTCATTAGTCTTTCAGAGTTATCTGAGAGTATTAGAAAGCATACAGACAGAAGTGACCCAGTGAACTTTGTGTGGCTGGGCTTTGAAAAAGGGTTTTGACAAAGGCTCTCGCCAAAAAAGGCTTCTGAACAAATTTAGCAGTCATGGAATAAGATTATGGGTCCTCTTCTTGATCAGCAACTTGTTAAAGATCAGGAAGTAGAGAATAGGAATGAATAAATAAATTCTCACAATAAAAGAATGTAAGAAGCTAAGTTCTCAAAGGATCTGTATTGGGAGTGAGACCCGTGCAATTCCCCTTGTTCATAACTTTTCCTGGAGTTAGAAACGAGTCACAAGGTGGCTAAGTTTGCAAATGATACCAAATTATTCAGGTGGTAACAACAAAAAGGGATTTTGAAGAGCTCCAACCAAATATTTCAAGACCTGTGGAATGGGCATTATGGTCAAATCCAGTTAAGTGTAAGGCCGTGTGCAGGGGAGAAAACAACCCTCACATCATAGGGCCATGGTGGGTAACCTTTTGAAATTGCATGTTAGGGATTATTATTAAGGAAAATAAACCTGCCAGTGTCATACTTGGAATACTGTATAGAGTTCTGGTAGCTGCATCTCTAAAAGGATATTGTACAGCTGAGAAAATGGAAGAAAACGGCAACCAAAATCATCAAGGGCTGGACCCGCTCTCCTGTAAGGAAAGGTTCTAAAGTTTGCAGCTACTTATTTCATTTAGGAAAAAAGCAACTGGGGATGTAGAGCATGATAGACATGCATAGACAGAGGGTCTTCTCGGTAGTGGCGCCCGCCCTGTGGAACGCCCTCCCTTCAGATGTGAAGGAAATAAGCAGCTATCTTCTTTTTAAAAGACATCTGAAGGCAGCCCTGTTTAGGGAAGTTTTTAATATTTAATGCTGTATTATTTTTAACACTTGATTGGAAGCTGCCCAGAGTGGCTGGGGAACTCAGCCAGATGGGCGGGGTATAAATAATAAATTATTATTATATTATTATTATAAAATTACCAGAACATAGACTCATCAAATGAAGTGGAGTAGTGGAAAACTCAGGACAAATAAAAGGATGTACTCCTTCCCACAGCCCATACTTAAATTATGGAATCTATTTTCATATATGTGGTGACAAGAGGGAGGCAGGGAGGGGGGTTTATTGGTTTGGGCTGTTGTTTTTTCTGCTCTTCTTTTTATTATGTATTTTGTGTTTTTGTTTTTATTATGTATTTTGTGTTATCTTGTATTTTTACATTGTGAGCTGCCCTGAGATCTACAGATGAAGGATGGGATACAAATTTAATAAATAAATATGGACTGGACAAGCAGAGGAATGATAAAGCTGTCAAAGACTACAGTGGTGCCCCGCAAGACGAATGCCTCGCAAGACGAAAAACCCGCTAGACGAAAGGGTTTTCCGTTTTTGAGTTGCTTCGCAAGACGATTTTCCCTATGGGCTTGCTTTGCAAGACGAAAACGTCTTGCGAGTCTTGCGATTTTTTTTCGCTCCCCACCCCCTTTTTCTAAGCCGCTAAGCCGCTAATAGCCTTTTAGCCGCTAAGCCTTTAATAGCCGCTAAGCCGCTAATAGCGCTAAGCCGCTAATAGGGTTGCTTCGCAAGACGAAAAAACCGCTAGACGAAGAGACTCGCGGAACGGATTATTTTCGTCTTGCGAGGCACCACTGTACTAGTCATGATGGCTTTATGCTCCTTCCAGGATCATAGGTAACATGCTTCTTATATAAGTTGCCAGAGAACAACAGCAAGAGGGCTATTGTCCTCATATCCTGTTTGTAGACTTCTGGTTCATCACTATGAGATAGAAGCTGGTGGACTAGATTGGCATTTGGAATGAATCAGCAGGGTTCTTCTTATGATCCTGGTTTGAAGCGAGTGCCCCTAGACCATAGCTTTCTGGTTTGAATGTCACCAAAAACACATTAAGCAAAGCAAGAATTAAGTCAAGCATATGAAGTGTTTGTGTGTGTGTGTGTGTGTGTGTGTGTGTGTGTAGTTTCGTCTTTCCCTGCAGTACCTGTATATGGCTTAAATCTTTTCCATAAGTTTGCAAGAGATGCAGACACAAATCTGCTCCCTCCAAGTAAAACCTTGGTCTGGATTGTCTACTGTGACCTATGGAAGATTAGTGAGTGGATCAATTACTTAGTGAGTAGACAAGATTACTTTGGGTCCCTTTTCTATGAAAAGCCTGGGCAATGGTCTGATCAATTCAAGTTGTGTTTGTTTATTTATGATTTGCATTTATAGCCCACACTTTACCAAATGTACCTAGGACAAGTTGTAAAAATATAAAAATTAAAATAAGTATAATGTATAATTAAAATCATAAAAGAAAAACCACAAACTCTCTCACTCACAGACACACACACACACACACACACAGAGAGAGAGAGAGAGAGATAATGTATACTCTTAAAGCATACAATATGAAGTGGTGATTGCACTCTGCTTCAGTTTGTTTTGCAAAGCTTCCCCAACGCTACCACATTATTGTTGTCCAGAAGGTCTACAGTGCAGCAGATGTGGGACAAAAATCAACCAAAGCATTTGCGGTGTAACTGTTAAGGGATTTCAGCAGAAAGTTACAGGATATGCACAGATTGGAAATGAAACAGTGTGACCACCCCAAAGCCATTGCATGTGCATTGAAAACTGAGTCACATGTGACTGCCCCCATGAGCACATACTATGATGCATAGTATAGCATCATGAGCACATACTATGATGCATGTGCACACACAAAAAAATGCCAGGAGGGGTCCTTTGTAGTTGTTACTTTAAGTCCTCCATTTTTTACTCCACATTTTACTTTTTGGTAGAGAGTCAAACCAACAGTGCAGATAGCAGTATAAAGGTAAAGGTAAAGGGACCTCCGACCATTAGGTCCAGTCGTGGCTGACTCTGGGGTTGCGGCGCTCATCTCGCTTTATTGGCCAAGGGAGCCGGCATACAGCTTCCAGGTCATGTGGCCAGCATGACTAAGCCGCTTCTGGTGAACCAGAGCAGCGCACGGAAACGCCGTTTACCTTCCTGCCGGAGCAGTACCTATTTATCTACTTGCACTTTGACGTGCTTTCAAACTGCTAGGTTGGCAGGAGCAGGGACCGAGCAATGGGAGTTCACCCCATCGAGGGGATTTGAACCGCCGACCTTCTGATTGGCAAGTCCTAGGCTCTGTGGTTTAACCCACAGATAGCAGTATAGTTAGCAGCAAAATCCATATGAAGCTGCCACTAAATCACGGCTATTGGTTCATTTAGTTCAGCATTGTTTTTACTGACCGGATTTCAGGCAAGGAATCTCTCTCTGCCCTCTCTGGAGATCCCTGGGATTGAAGCTGGGAGCTTTTACATTCAAAGCAGATAGTCTACCACTGAGCTACAGAGAGAATCCCAATGTACGGAGGTGTATATCAGGATATATTTTTTTTTAATGGTCTTGATATGACACTAGAACTGCATGAAAAAATGTTGCATCAAGTGGTCCATGAAGTGGAAAATGAGCAACAAATTATACTAACAGAAATTACTAACATACTCTATACTCTATGTTCTAGTCAATGTTCTACAGTTAAGTGAGCCTTTGCACATAATGTTCCTACTGTAAACATAACCAGGGTAAGCATTTCGTTGCATAAAAGCAAGATAAAAATACCAGTTCTATGGCTTTGAATAATATACCAGTTTTGATAAAACACCAGCCAGGAGAATGCCTTTGGGAATTATTCATGCTTCCTTCTATGTTGGTTTTATCGAAATAACCATACCACGGTCCATTCTTGTCTATGAGGATCACAGTTTTTTGAGCATGGAAATAGAATCCCAATGTCATTTTTGTATAATATATGCATATGGAAGCAGATAAAGGAATCAAGTTTTTCATGCATGTTTCATACAAGAAGAAAATGATAGCAATAGGGCATTTTCACATTTTAAAACATACACATTTCAGTAGTCAAGTATGAGCCTATATAGATGAAAACATTATGACATATTCTCATATAAAGGTAAAGGTACCCCTGCCCGTATGGGCCAGTCTTGACAGACTCTAGGGTTGTGCGCCCATCTCACTTAAGAGGCCGGGGGCCAGCGCTGTCCGGAGACACTTCCGGGTCACGTGGCCAGTGTGACAAAGCTGCTCTGGCGAGCCAGCGCAGCACACGGAAACGCCGTTTAACTTCCCACCAGTAAGCGGTCCCTATTTATCTACTTGCACCCGGGGGTGCTTTCGAACTGCTAGGTTGGCAGGTGCTGGGACCGAGCAACGGGAGTGCACCCCGCCGCGGGGATTCGAACCGCCCTAGGCGCTGAGGCTTTTACCCACAGCGCCACCCGCGTCCCATATTCTCATATGTCAGAGTCTATATTTCAAAAGCCTTTCAGGTCCTTTTGATAATGTTTTACAGAGATAATTGAGGCAGTTGGTTGGTTGTATTTTGCTGCTGATAGCCTGGTATCCAATATTTTAATGTTTTTCTTATTTTGTTTATTTATCTATTTATTTATTACATTTGTATACTGCCTTTCATTCGTAGAGCTCAGGACGGTTCACAGCATAAAAATACAAGATAACACCACAAAATACATTTCTTAGTTGTTGTGGCTGTATATTCCATGTTACAATCTGTAAATCACACTGATTTTTCTTTTATATAAAGAGTGGTATATAAATGAAATAATAATTTAGTAAATAAATAAGACACTAAGCTGCTTGGAGGTTGTTGGGTTTGTTTGTTTGTTTGTTTGTTTGTTGTTTACTAACAAGCAGCATATAAATCTTAAGGAATAAAATAAATAAATAGTGTACACATCTCTGTATATTTTTAAAAAACTGAAACAGCAGACTTTAGTAAAAAAATTATTAAAAACTTACCTGCAACGTAGTCACCAAACCCAATCGTTGATAGGGTGATAACTACAAAATATATTGCATCTAGTGTGTCCCAGTCTTCTATGTGCTTGAATATGACTGCAGGGAGAGCAACAAACAGCACACAACCAAACAGTATGAATATTATTGTCGATATGATGCGAATCTTTGTCTGACTCACATTCCATTTCTGGGAGGGGCGGAAGAACAAAGAAAGGGAAAGGTGGATGGAAGAAGAGAAGAATCCATTATTAGTAAAACAGTGGCTTTGTATGTATGCATGTATGTGTTTATAAAAGGTTAATGTTTTTACTAAAAACCTCTAGACACAACGTTTAAAAGTTTCTAAGAAAACAAAGCATGCAGCAAAACAGCACTAAGAGCAAAAGCACAAGGTTGACAGTGGGGGCGGGAATCTTTCATGGGTACAGGGTAAATAAGTTTCAGCAATGAGTCTCCCCAAGACCCAAGGAGACAAGTCTCATAAGAAGATAGCGTGGGCTGACAATAGAAATACATGATTGCGAAAAATGCAAAATAAAGTAAAATTGATGTGCTTTATTTTCTTATGCCTTAGGTTGTTTTGGTTATATAAATTAGTCTCATTTGGGTTCTACACATCTTGCCTTCAAGGAATTTATTTCCTAGGATAATATAGTGTGGTGTTGGTTTAAAAAAAAAAATGGCACCAAAGTCGCTGCAGGAATTCAATGTCACTCTTACCCTTTTATGTCTGTGGTCATGATACATAAACTCCACAGGTGAAACTAAAGTAAATATTTACATGTGCTCTGGGCATGCTCTTATTATTAAAGTGAGTGCAATGATTCTTGTGCATTTCCTCCCAACACAGCTTCCTTTTTCCTCCTTGCTTTCTTGTGCAATGTGTTTTTATAACTTTCAAGGCCAAAAGCCCTTTGGTAAAGGCTTTATATAAGCACCAGGGTTTTACCATTGTCTTAGGCAACTTAGATAGATACTGCAGAAAAAGTAGTACAATTCACCTCATGGCCATTTTTCTTACTATTATTTTATTGGGGAAAGTAGTTTTGGGAGGTGGCATCATGATGCAGAGAAGTGCGAGAGATGTTTAGCCCTTTGTGCACCTTTACATCTCTGCTCTAAATAATCCACCCCATAGCACAGTCCTTGGTAGCAGGGCAGCAAAAGGGCCAGAGAAGAAATGCAGTAGGCATGGTCTTTGCTCTGGGAACCCAAACATGTACTTGTTCGTGCTACATGTAGCTGTACACACTTTACCTCTCGACAACTTCCAAAGCTTTTCCACCATGTAAAACGATTAATTGCATTAATTGCATCTTGTAGTTTTGTAGTGGATCCTGTTATATGCTTTATATTATTATTATTTTATATGCCTGTTGCCTATAAAATAATAATAATATAAAGCATATAACAGGGGGTTATATGCATATAACAGGGGGGTCACGAAGAGTCGGACACGACTAAATGACTAAACAACAACAACATTATTGTTTTTGTAAGTTACAGAAGTTATTTGTGGTTTAAGACAACATGTTTAGCATACTCACAACAAACGTGTCTTCTACTTTGGCGATTCCTTTCCCAAATATGGTCCCAAGTTGATCTCCAACTCCAGCCAACAGAAAACCAAAGAGAGGAATTCCCAGTAAGGCATAAATGATGCAGAAAATCTTTCCACCTTTTGTACGTGGCGAGCTGTTCCCAAATCCTAAATTACAAACAACTTGAGCTGTTGATAAATCAGTTAAAGGCATTAAATTACACATCTAATTTGTACTGCAGATAAGGACACTTTTTAAATGTTCCCTAGGAGTATATATCACATTAAAACATTCATATGGAGATCTTACCCTAATTGGATTGCTAAACTCACTTAAAACTGAACTGCACTTGGGTGTTCTGCAAGGAAACAATTTGTCTTTCTAACACAGTGAAACTGCCACTGAAGAGCTCTGTTACTCTTTACAAATGATATCACTACAGAGGCTTTCTTGGGAAAATTCATTTCAAATAGGATTTTTCTGGTGCTTTGAGAGAACCAGATATTCATAGACAGCCACTAAATAATCTACTTGTACAATATGAACTCATTATTTTTCACTGCACACCCTCAAGACCATACAGAAACAAAACCCCACCAACTTTACTGAAGCTGAAGATTTTGCATGAACTGTTCACATAATGTATGCCATGTTTTGCTAAATATAATTAATTCAGTGGCACGTGAATTGTATGTTGTAATATACAGTTACTGACTCACACTTGTGTGCATGAAAGGTATAAGCTGGGCTCAGGTTGCCAATGCAGGTGGAACTTAGCAGGCCTCCTGCAGCCTTTTGTTTCCGCCCTCCCATTCTTTTTCCCTCCTTTGTGCTTCCTGAAAAGCCCAGTGGCTCCAAGCTGCAAGAACCACCAAATGAACAAAATCTCTCCAAAACGGAGATTTTATAGCCTGCATCTTTGTTAACCCAAAGACTGCATGATCCTTTTTGTAAGAAAAACTTTTTCATCTTCATTTTACTGCTAACGGATGAAGACTTGTTGGCTGTAACTTCTAGAAACTCTGAGTAAAACATCCACTTATTTGCAAAGCTAAGTGACTGTGATTTATTTTAGCCTAAGTATTTTTGTGGGAAACGTTTGTTTAAAGGTGGATGAGGGCAGATGCAAATCTAACCAAGTTTTAATGTGCTTAGAGCAATCACCATTGTGCTAACTCTGCTATAAAAGAGTAACAATCTTTCTTCCAAACCTATATCTCCAACATTATATATATTAAGGTTGGACCCTTCCAGTTTTGTATATCCATCAGTGAACTGACAAAGCATCAACATCTCCTTAATTGCTGTAGTGAGTTAATATGGTATAACTTTGGACATTGTAATAAAATGTTTTTGCCTCTGCCTTGCCCACTCTCTAAACTTGGCAGAAGTTGCTCATTTAGCAGCTGCGTGCATATATCTATGTCTAAGCATTCTGTTCAAGTCTCTTCTTCCCAATGAAAGATAATGAGAAAACCTCTTATACCCCCCCTTTTTGGGGGGTCTGGTCTGGATGCCAAAGCTCATCAATATTTGCAACATGTTATTTAAGCAGGTCCTGATCCAGCTAAGAAATCAGTGCATGAAAGTAGACTTTTGTATGTATACCACTTGCTGTATCAAGAACTGCAGGGGGGGGAATCGGGTACCCATCAAAATCCACATTAGAAATTGCATCCAAATATGCTTGATTGCTATCCCCACTGCATTGCTTGAAACAAGTAGCAGCTGGTACGATGAAGCAGAGTCGTGGAGCTACCATCCCAAAGCAGGCATCACTATATCTTACCTGTGCATGACTGGGACAAAGTTGGGATTGTGCAGATGCACTATCAGGGGTACCAGATTGGCTCCATCAGTGCACCCACCATCTCAGCCTCACCCCTGCCCTGCCCTGCCCTGTCCCATTCTGCCCAGCCAAGCTTTAGTGACACTGGTGTCAGGAGGGTGGCTCCACAGCTCTGCCCTACCACAACACATCCATGAAATATGTGGTTAGATAAATGTCGCTATATGAATATTGGTATATAGCTTTTTATGTTATTGTCATTTTTAGAGTCCTCCCTATAACAGAAATTTCTCAGCGAGGGTTACAAGATTATTATTAAAAAAGATGTGTTGAAAGCAATAAAAGAGTAATACAAGAAGATGTGATGCAGCATGAAGGGAAGCTCAAAATTTAAGATAAAAACAGGATAAAGAACAAAGTGCTGAGAATAAAACAAGTAACCAGTTCAGAGCTTTCCAAACTGTGCGTTGTGACACGTTGGTGTGTTGATTGCAGTGTGTAGGTGTGTTGTGTGAATGCTCCCCCATTCCTCCCAGGGCTGGAAAGGGGTTAGTTTAACCTACGGTTTGCTAGAAAAAATGAATTACTGTGTCGCAAAAAGATATACGTCTAAAAAGTGTGTCACCAATATGAAAAGTTTGGAAAGCTCTGAACTAGTCACTTGTGAGTTCATATTTTACATGTTACCATAACTGCTTTGAAGTACAGTGGTGCCCCGCAAGACGAAATTAATTCGTTCCGCAATTTTTGTCGTCTAGCGAATTTTTCGTCTTGCGAAGCACGGTTTCCCATAGGAATGCATTGAAAATCAATTAATGCGTTCCTAGGGAAACCGCTTGCCAGGCTGGCGGTGCGGAGAAGGGCTTTTCTCCCCACCGCAAGCCTTCAGCACAGGTACGGGAACAGAGGGGAAGGCGCGCAGCGCTTTCCCTCTGTTCCCGGGGCTTGCGTGGGAGGAGGGTTTTTCCTCCCCACCGCCAACATTCAGAACAGCATTCTGAATGTTGGCGGTGGGAAGGAAAACCCTTCTCCCACCCCAAGTCTTCAGGACAGCCATCCGAAGGCTGGCGCGGGGAGAAGGTCTCTCCGCCCCCCCCCCCACGCCAGGCTTCGGTGCATCCTTCAGAGGCTGCTGCCATAGTCACGCGTCACTTCTCCAGCTGGGAGAGGGTCGCGGGGCTATGGTTTCTTTAGCCCCGCGCGCGCTCTCCCGGCTGGAGAGGTGACGGGCGCCTATGGAGGTTCCTGCCATATGCGCGCGTCACAACTCCAGCTGGGAGAGGGTCGCGGGGGGCTGGTTTAGCCCCGCGCGCGCTCTCCTGGCTGGAGAGGTGACGGGCGCCTATGGAGGCTCCTGCCATAGGCGCGCGTCACTTCTCCAGCTGGGAGAGGGTCGCGGGGGGCTGGTTTAGCCCCGCGCGCGCTCTCCTGGCTGGAGAGGTGACGGGCGCCTATGGAGGCTCCTGCCATAGGCGCGCGTCACTTCTCCAGCTGGGAGAGGGTCGCGGGGGGCTGGTTTAGCCCCCCGCGCGCTCTCCTGGCTGGAGAGGTGACGGGCGCCTATGGAGGTTCCTATGGAGCTGTTCCTGGAACAGCTTTCCGAAGTGGGGCGGCTGGGGCAGATGTCCCCGCCCCCCCTCCCCGCTTCGGAACAGCTTTCCGAAGTGGGGCGGCTGGGGCAGGTGGCCCCGCCCCCCCCCGCCCCACTTCGGAACAGCTGCAAAAGACGTCAGGGGGAAGCGGGGAAGCGAAGCGCTTCGCTTCCCGCTTCCCCCGGACCTCTTCTGAAGCAAGGGGCTGGGGGGAGATCGCTATCTCCCCCCAGCCCCTTGCTTCAGAAGAGGTCCGGGGGAAGCGGGAAGCGAAGCGCTTCGCTTCCCCGCTTCCCCCGACGTCTTTTGCAGCAAGGGGCTGCAGGGAGATCGCTATCTCCCCCCATCCCCTTGCTTCAGAAGAGGTCCGGGGGAAGCGGGGAAGCGAAGCGCTTCGCTTCCCCGCTTCCCCCGACGTCTTTTGCAGCAAGGGGCTGCAGGGAGATCGCTATCTCCCCCCATCCCCTTGCTTCAGAAGAGGTCCGGGGGAAGCGGGGAAGCGAAGCGCTTCGCTTCCCCGCTTCCCCCGACGTCTTTTGCAGCAAGGGGCTGCAGGGAGATCGCTATCTCCCCCCAGCCCCTTGCTTCAGAAGAGGTCCGGGGGAAGCGGGGAAGCGAAGCGCTTCGCTTCCCCGCTTCCCCCGACGTCTTTTGCAGCAAGGGGCTGCAGGGAGATCGCTATCTCCCCCCAGCCCCTTGCTTCAGAAGAGGTCCGGGGGAAGCGGGGAAGCGAAGCGCTTCACTTCCCCGCTTCCCCCGACGTCTTTTGCAGCAAGGGGCTGCAGGGAGATCGCTATCTCCCCCCAGCCCCTTGCTTCAGAAGAGGTCCGGGGGAAGCGGGGAAGCGAAGCGCTTCGCTTCCCCGTTTCCCCCGGACGTCTTTTGCAGCAAGGGGCTGCAGGGAGATCGCTATCTCCCCGCAGCCCCTTGCTTCAAAAGAGAAGACCCGCTGTCCCCGGGGCAAGCTTCGTTTTGCGAAGCAAGCCCATAGGGGAATTCGTCTTGCGAGGCAAATCGCGGACGAAAAAACCTTTCGTCTAGCGAGTTTTTTGTCTTGCGAGGCGTTCGTCTTGCGGGGCACTACTGTATAGCTTCCTCCTTTCCCTCAACTCCATCAGGTTGCTGAAGAAGAGCTTGAGAAGCATACCTTCATGGTGCTATACCAGTATACTTGAAGGAACGTCTCCACCCCCACGTTCAACCTGGACACTGAGGTCCAGCTCTGAGGGCCTTCTGACGGTTCCCTCACTGCATGAAGTGAAGTTACGGGGAACCAGACAGAGGGCCTTCTCAGTAGCAGTGCCCACCCTGTGGAATGCCCTCCCATCCAATGTCAAGGAAATAAACAACTATCTAACTTTTAGAAGACATCTGAAGGCAGCCCTGTTTAGGGAAGTTTTTAATGTTTGATTCTATTTTTAATATTCTGTTGGGAGCATGTTAATATAAAAATGTGTACAAAGAGAGTAAGAAGGAGAAAAGAGTGAGTATATCTACAGTGGTACCTCGGGTTAAGAACTTAATTCGTTCTGGAGGTCCGTTCTTAACCTGAAACTGCTCTTAACCTGAGGTACCACTTTAGCTAATGGGACCTCCTGCTGCCGCCGTGCCGGAGCACGATTTCTGTTCTCATCCTGAAGCAAAGTTCTTAACCTGAAGCACTATTTCTGGGTTAGCGGAGTCTGTAACCTGAAGCGTCTGTAACCCAAGGTACCACTGTATATCCATACCTATACCTATACATCATCAGTTCACGTGTCCTGTTAGCCACAGCAAGAAATGACCTATGACTTAGAATGGAAAAACC